CTGGTTTGTCCCTGGTTGACCGCAGGGCTAATTTACATTGTCATGTGAAAACCATTGTGGCCGGGAGGGGTACTTTGCAGAACGCCGAGTACACTGTTTGGACTGTTTGCTTACGGTTAGTTTCACTCGTGTTCGCTTACAGTCACCTGCTTTTCGTTGTTGTTGTTGGAAAGGACAGCATATTGTATTTCGTCCTTTCCAACAATTTAAAGCTAACCGCAAGCAAAACATGTGTGAAAACAGTGCATTCGGCTTTCTGCAAAATACCCCTGCAGCATTATGGCGGCTATTGGTAACCGTAAGGCCAAGAGAGTTTTAATCTTCATTTTAAGTGGTACGGATACCTCTTCATCAAAACTAATTTCCCTTGGTCTTAAACCAGTCGCTCCTCGTATTTACCATTTTATCATAGTTTTAGTTATTTACGTTTTGTTCCAGTGTTGTGCATATTCCGCTACGTGTACAACGTACATTCTTAGTAGTAGAATACAATCTTGAGAACATATTCTTAGAAGTGAAAGTGGTTGTTGAACCTTCCCTGAAAACGGAAAATCGAAATGAAACTGGTTGTGGAATAAACAATGTTTGACAACGGTGTTTTGATTCCTTGTGACCGAGTCGTCCCCAGTTGTCTTGATGCAGGAGAGCGTTCAGCGACTAGCTCACGCGTTCCTGTTCTCATAATTTGACTTGCCTTTCCTCCCTTTATATACTATCGAAANTTTTTTTTCTATAGACAGGTCACCCACATCATTAGGCGTCATTTGTTTTGTTAATTGTTTTTCTACACCACTGTGTAAACCCAAGAAAAATATAGGTTTATTTACAAAAGTACATAGAATTAATACTTTACAAATAGTTCTCCTTTATATTTACAAGACAAATAGCAAACCTATCATTACAGTCAGTGACTTTCACAAATAAAATATAAAATCCAAGCTAGTCCAAAGTCTCCCGTACCCAGCTTCCCTCGTTCGACCGGAAGCTGTTGGTGTTGCTTCTTTTCCTTCCTACTCTGGGAGGGTGAGGACAGATGAGACCACCACGTGACATAACGAGTCAAATGACGCTTGTAACCTCGCTCAAGCATGTGGTCTTGTGGTCCAAGCACAGTGTGCAACACAACTCTATAATAACTCCCGCCTTTGTGTCATTTGTTCCTGGAAGCAGCCAACACCTTTGCCATCAAATCCTGCAATAAGATTGGCATAACTCGATTTCCATATATGTGCATACCGTTGCGATACCACTACATCAGACAAGTATACCTCGCTAAAAGGCAGGGTATCTGCCTTAGGAAACCATCATCTGAAATCTTGACGATCCTCTATAAAATACGTTTAACAAATAAACGCTCTAGAGGAATCGGCACTACCAATACACTTTAGAGCTCAATGCCACGAAGAGTAAGTTACATACCCCTGCAGATACAATCGCTTACTGTTCACCCTCGAACAAAACAAGATTAATAAGTGCGATATAGTTGCACTGATTGATGATGCTACGAGGCATTAACACGTTAATAAAGTTTCTGTCTGTCTGTCTGTCTACAAAGCTATTCTACCATTTCTGGCGTAATTACGTGTTTGACACCAGTTATAGTACAACATATCAACACTAACCTGAGTAACACGGATACTATCAGGTGATGGCACACCCAGTCTTCCTCCACTCACTGACTCATCATCATCATCATCATCATCATCGTCAACACGGCTTCTCTTCAATGCAGGGGAGTCGGACCTAGTGAAACAAAAATGGTCATAACACTGGAAAGCAAAGAAAACTACACTAGCTAATCCTTTCAGAGTTTAGCGACCCCCTCAAAAATCTCATCCACTGACGAAAAATGTTGAAGATATTTATCGTCGTTACTCCTGGACTGATTGTCATCTGATTCTGAAACAAGTTTTAATTGTTCAAAACAGACTTAAGGTGGCTTACTACAGTTTTGGATTATAACAGCCTAACTCTTGAAATATGTTCCAAGACGTTGTTCCTTTCTCTATTTACTGTTTACTTCAGTCTTTTACCATTCTATGTGAAACTTGAACAATTAAACGTCAACAAATGGCAAAAATGAACAACCGAGTACCTAAGGGGAGACTGGGCACTGGTAGGTTAAATCACGTTTTTCTAAAAATCTACCAGTATGACCCCACCTCAAAATTTCAGGAATAAGAAATTGGCTCTGATTTAACATTCATGCAAAGTAAAATAAAAATCTGTAAGACAGATTTTTTGCAAACTAAGAAAATGTGAAATCAAAAATAGCTCAAAATCTGTCTTACAGATTGTTTTTTAAATTTTGGCTCTAAACGTGATTCAACCCTACAAATCGACTGTGAAAATTTCATCATGGGCTGCACGGTGGGTTTTTGAGCAATCCTCAATCAAAGACTGGCTTTTACAACCTTAAACGAGAATTAATTTTCGCATGCCCTTTACTTAAGCGCGCGCTCATGTGACGCCATGTATCGCGCGGGAGAAAGCAAGAGTACTTAAGGAAAATTTTACCGGTTGTTTATCGAGTCTTTTTGTCATAATTTTTTGGCCCTAGCCTAAAACACATGTCTGAACGGAATTTGAAACTATTGCTACGTATACTGAAGCGATCTAACGCCTTTCAAGTGCTGAAGTAGTTTTCGTTTCTTCTTAGGGTTGCTTGCGTCATTTGTGCACGCGCGATTAATACTGACGTCTGGCAGGCAATGGTAGCGCGTGCTTCTAGTCTCCAAAAAACTGTAGTAAGCCACCTTAACTGAAACAAAGGTTTCATTACATGCTTACGTGTCTTTGCATTTATCAACTGAATCTCTCGACTGAACACATCAAAAATATACTTATGCTTTGTTCAAAGTAGGTAACTGCTAGAAACACAATTATGATCCCTTCTGCAGCGTTACATTATATACCGTAAAATCCCATGTTAACCCCCCCCCGGATATAAGCCCTGCTATTTGCTAAGAAAGATATCATTCCGGATATAAGCCCCTCCGGGTATAAGCCCATCTAATGTGTAAGTGCATTCCTTTTGCGTTTCTTTTTAAACATCAAAATTTTTAATCGAAAGTCATTGGGTAATAGGATAATAATATGGTAATAGCTCTAAATGTAATGGTATCTTAGCTTTAATTCGTTTCTCAGATACCTTTTATCTCGTCGTTCCGAAACGCTATTGTTATTCCCGATATATCCCCCCCCCCCCGCCCCCCCTCGTTTACAAGCCCACCCAAAACCCCTGATAAAGTTATCTAAGCCCAGGGTTTTCATGTGGGATTTTACGGTACGCTAGGAACAAAAACATCGTTTCCCAAGTTTTCCGTATGTATTTACAGAGCCCTGTTAAAAATGTTTTAAGACTACAGAAACAACAAATTACCGTTTTTCTCCTTTTGATTCCACAAATTTTCTGGTTTTCCTAACCTGTGCTGAACTCCCAGAACTGGAGGACCTGTTGTGAAAACATTCAGCAATACTGAGCTACATGTATTAGTATATACAAGATGTTGCTTATTGTGATTAAATAACAAACCCTTCTCGAGGTTACTCACTTCATGTATCTACACACATTTGTGTCTAGAGTAACCAACGAATGGCACAGCTGTCAGCCTAGATGCACTCATAACACAATGCACAAGAAAAGTTAGACTTTCTCAAAGTCCCTCGTAGTTGTTAGTAGTGTCACTGTCAGCACAAGGAGCGAGCGTGCGCCGCTCTACCTCACGCTCTTCATACTCGAAGATTTGTCGCTATCTGAGGCCTGTTCCAAGCGTTGCACTATTGCCGTGCTGAACTAATTCAACTTAAGGACAGTTTTGAGGGAGTAAAAAAGCCCGACTTTTAAACTCTGTAAAAGGTTCCATGATGTTTTTTCCTTCACTAATTACTGTTAACCTACAGTGCGACTACTCGAACCGGGGCATTTGGAAAAGAGTTCACCAATCGGAATGTTACTTGAGAACAAAGGATAGCGATTTTTTTTTTTCTTAAATAAACCAATAACATTGAAGAATACGAACAATAGATCTTAACAACATTGAAAACCCGACAAAGTGTAAGGTGTTGTGAACATCAGGAAACACTGCCATTGGTTTTTTTTTTTTTTTTNCCTAATTTTGTGCGCTTTGCAACGAGTTTTCAAGCTAAATTTTTCAAGCGAGATTTATAATTATGATAATTCGCCATCAAGAACTGAATCCCTAAGAGTGTATATAATGCAGAGGAGTCGATAGTGTTTATGTTTTCACGTCAAACAAACCGTTGCTTGCCGTCTCGAGAATCTACCAGTTCACTGTTACGTTTTGATTGGTTAGTTTTCTTCTAGGTGGCCCAGTTCAAGTAGTCACACTGTAAGTGTTTAACCATCTTATGTGACAAAATGAATGACAGTGCTCTACCCATATAACCCTTCTTCAGCTTTCACCTCAAATTTCTGGCAATTATAAAAATTAACTTCACAGATTTTGAGTTATTTTTGAAAATTGGCAAAAATTAACATTTTCTTAATTAGCAAAAAATTTGTCCTAGAGATACATGTATCTATTTCACTTTGAACAAACAGTGCTTAAAGAAACTGCAACCTTGCCTGTTAAAAAGTTACCAAAAAAATCAAGCTTCCAAAGGTTTCAAACGCATGCCCTTTGCAATGCTGGTAAAGTGCTCTTACACCGAGCTACATATCAATCGCTGAAAACTGGTTAAATACAAGAAACTTAAGTACAGTCGAACCTGCATATAACGGCCACCCTCAGGACTTGAGGAACTGGCCGCTTAATACAGGATCACTAAAAATACTCACTGGGCATGGTGTAATGTCAATTTTAATGACGTTCGTGATATGGTATTGTACTTCAGCGCATTGCGGACATCTGAAAGCGTTAACGATACTTAATGGCGATTATCAGCTTACAGTAGCTTTGTACATGTTTTACAGTGATGATGGATCACATTTCAAACAAGAAAATACCGCATAAAATGACATGTGGCTTAGTTTCCGCTCAAGGATGACCGCATAATACAGGTAAAAATAACAAAGAAAAGACAAACATAGGGCTGCCACCCTGCGGCCGCTTAATAGAGTTGGCTGTCTAATACACGTAACAAATACAGTGTTTGTATGAGTGACAGATCGGGACTTTGAAAACTGGCCGCTTAATAGAGGGTGGCCACTTAATACAGGGCCGTTATATATGGGTTCGACTGTATACACATAAAATGATGAATGCACGATAATTTCTACCATAAACCAGCTGATACTGATGAACAATCATCATACTTATTTGCTTCAGTTTCATCTCCTGGGTTGGTGTTCTTTAACATGCTGATAAACAGTGATGCTTTTCTTCTCCTTTCCAGCTGAAGCTGTTTGTCTCGTGACTCAGATTCCAGATGCTGAGCTGTACAAAGAATTTAAAAAAATCCTCTCAACATTTAACAAATCTCAACCAGTCGGAGGTGCACATCTGTGGTGCATTTGGGCCAAGCATAGCAAACATTCAAAGGGACCCAGGTAGAAAGCCACAGAACCGTAAATACCAAGAATCTTGTAAACGATTTAAGGTCAAAGCCTTTGTAGGTGCATTCACATTTGTGGCTACACTTGTGAAGTTTAGATGGTACTTTTGGAGCTACATGTAGAATCACTCTCAAGTCCTTTTTTTTTTCATGCTCTCAACCTTCCTGAAAGTATCCAAAATTTGATAAATGCAATTGCAAGCCAAATATTGACAATGATTATTTCTTACAAAAATGCAAAATGAATTAATTAAGGAACCTCCTGTTTTAATGAAAAGCTGTAAAATAGAAACATTTAAGTCAGGAAAACTGTCTAACATGTGTATACCAATTCTCTCAGCAGCCTTGATCGAGTCCATCTGTTGCGTCAAGTCGTCAGCTGACTTCTCACTAGTTTCTTGATTATTTGCATACTCCGGTTTCTTAGCATTCGATTTCCCCTCATTGCCATCAAATGTCTCCTTGCCCTCAGTTTCTGTGTCTGCTTCATCACCATCCTCATCACTCTGCCCTTGCTCATAGCTCTGTTTGTATATAACACTTGTCCTATATTCAATTTTGGGTTTCTTTGTATCCTTTGACTTTATTGAGAAACTTATTGGCCCTTTGGGTGCTTCAGGTTGATTCTTGCCATTCTCTGTCAGTAAAAAACACATCGTGGGATGAGAAAGACCTCCAAAAAGAACTTCACAAAATAAAACAAGTACATACCTTACTACTCTGGACAAACATTAAGAGGAGCATCAGCCCTAAATGCACATTATACCATAGCTAGCACAATTTCAATATAAAAATGGATCACATGCAGGTGTGCACCAAAAACCAATGATGCAAGCTCAGGGCATGAAAAAGCTAATACACCATGCAAGCGTCAAATTTTTTATGGACACATTCTCTTGTGACAATTACAGTCATTATAGTACCTTCTACCTATGGAGCAACTGTTGTTTCAGCCACAGATTTTTATGTCTTACAAATGCCTCCACTTCAAATTATGTACACTACAAAAGCTATAAACAAACAAACAAACAAACAAACAAAACAAACTACTGTGTGAAACTTATCACTGCTATGCCTAGATTGATACCGTACCTGTTTCTATTTGCGGTGAAACAGCTTTGAGTGCCTGTCGTTTCTTGAGTTGGTAATAACTGTAATGGCTGTTCCATGGATTCAAGAACTCAAACCGAGGATCATTCTTAGCTTTGATGATTGATTCAAAATCAGGACCATTCTTGGCCACATAATTTGCCAACTTATCCACAATTGGTTGAAGGTCAGGAGGTGGTGGTATGATTTCATCTGCCACTTGAGAGGTCGTAGACATTCCAGGAGGAGGTGGTGGAGGCAGAGTCCCAGCTATTTCAACTGTGTTGGGCACAAAGAATGTTGGAGGGACTGGTGGAGGGGGAGGAGGTGGCAAAGGAGGCATTGATGGTCCAAAATCCAACCACTCCTCTGCAAGTTACAGAAAATATTTCCAAGGAATATTTCACAAAAATAATTTGTTTCATAAATTAATGTCAAAGTAATAATTACTGGTACACTACTAGGCTACATTCACTGCAGAGACTGCCATACTAATTAAAGCAGGGATAAACAGTCATCCTCTACAGTTGTCGCTTAAAAAGATAGACACCACTACAACTTGATTACCATTAGGTGCCAACATTGGGTGGCCTTTCAGCTCACTGTTATTCCTTGTTGGGAGACTTTCTTCTTAGTTACAACCCTACATAGCTATGACGATAGCAAACCATACCTTCTAAGGGACCTTCTCCTGGTGGAGGGGGAGGAGGTGGAATCATGTCAGCTACTGACAGTATCGGTGCCATGGGGGGGTGGTACGAGTAACCGGCAGATGACACATAGTGTCCATACATATCATCTGGAATGTAAAATAACCCAATGCAATTAGAGTCAAACGTCTGTTAAGTGGCCAAATGTTAAATTACTGTCTTCACATGATTCCATATCACCTTAAAGCATGTTTGTATTTGAATAAGTTGAAATTTCTACTGAGCGTCATGCTAATTCCTGATGAACCACTAGCAAGCAGCCATCTCCCATTTCCCCATGGGTGGCTGCTTAATAAGGCCTCAACTGTATAACTTATGACTCAGGCAACAAACATATCAAAAGGACAATTTCAAATCTATGCCACTCTAAACTATCTATTATCAAGACTGTCCTTGTTAGTCCCACAGGATGCAGGTAATTGAGGTTAACCCAAGGCTGTTGCCTAAGGAAATTTTTAAGGAGCCCTTCGGGCTCCTGACTTCAAAAGTTAGGAGCCCAAGCCACTTTTTTAGGAGCCCAGAATAAATTTGCCGTGGTAAATCCGGGGGGTTGGCGAGACTGGGGAAGACCGGGGAGGAGGGGTGGAGTGAATTTGGAAATTTAGGGGAGGGGTCCGAAGGCAGAGATTTTCCATGAGACACTAATATGGTCTGTTTTATCAATCAAATTTTTGAAATAAAGTGTTCATCAAATTTATCAGGTCATCACTGAGAGAGAATACTATTTGTGGTTAAGCAAATTCAATAATTGGTGTATCCATGCAAGTGCTGCAGTTTTTTTTACAAAAATTTATATTGCCTCTTTCGTTTTTGAGTTTAGCAATTCTAAAAAAATCATGAAATGCAAGCTGCAAATGAAAACAAATAAAAATGAAATATGCATTTGGGGCGTTTGAATTTAGCCTCACTGAAATGTGCTTTCCTTCCCCGGGCTTCAGGGACATAAGTATAAACAAAAGGAGCATTTTTTAGGCAGCATTACTGCATTATATTGGCTGCTGCTTTGGAGAAAATATATTCTCGTATATTGGGTGGAGCCATGACAATTGGTTTGATAATTTAAAATATAAAACCTTGGTATGCAAAAAGAATTGCAATGCTGTTTTCTTTTTGCTGGCTTGTAGCTACTTGAATATTTCGACTTTTAAGTCATAAATATCCTTTCAGAAACTACAGAAATTCATTCAGTACAGCTAAGTGAAGTTTTCCAAAGTATTGAACAAAAAAAAAAGCCCAAGAATTTATCCTTATTCAAATCTAAATATAATGTCAGCAGCAGCATCACTCCAATTCCAAAAATATTTGTTAATCAATGTAGTTATTTTGCAACTGGAATCAGTAGGGCATCAACAGAGACACAATCCATTCGCATACATGACGTGCATTTATTCAATACTGAGCTTGCAATGCATTGTAGACTACGAGTAGTCCCTCTTTCGCTTAGTCCGTCGTGCGTGACACGAAAGAAATTCGCGAGAAAAAAATGGCCGCGCGAAATCCTGAAGGCTAGGAGCACACGAAAGGAGGGACTACCGCCTAAGCCCAAGAGTTTGCCCTTTCACGGCCGAGTGATTTTTCGGTGTAGGATTTCTCATCTTGACGTCCTCTTATTATCGCCTGTTA